GATCTGATTTATAATTGTAAGGTTTCACTGCGCAACAGGATTTCGTTTGGAAAGACGCACTTTCTGCACTTTTTTCCCACAAAATCTGCATACCGAATGAAGTTGCTGACAATCAGCTGATCTTGGATGCTGTACATCACAAAGGAGTTCTCTGCTTTCTACGTAGTGAGACTGAGACTGTGTTGAATTGGGAAAAATCAAAAACAGTTAGTTGCGAATCGTCAGCGATTGTGTTTTGTCAGTTACTTAATCGTTTATCCTTGTTCTTGTAAGACATATAAAAGGATTTCCCTGTTATTGTATTGGTACTGATGAGATAATACGAAATGCTAGCATCTGCCAATATTCGTCTTCTCATTTCGTTATCCTTGTTCTGTTAGGACATCGCATTCGTGTCATTAGTTCCGGGTATACGATGTCTTCGTTTGGCATTTTTTATGCACCGTTTCACAAAACCACAGGTTTCCGAAGTAATCCTCGATACGTGTTTTCAAACACCCTTCCCAGAATCGGCCTCTATTAATCCTTCTGGTAGTGTATTCCATAAGTTTACGATTCTTCATTCTATACAAAGCTGATATGATACTTTGTTCATGCATGGGACACAGAGTTTGTAACGGTGTCGCCAAGTATTAGGATTTCCGCAGGTGAAATATTGACCGCAGTATGGGGAAGTAATTTAAGTGTAGTATTCGATGGGTCATAATAAGGTCAGTTCTCACTCGGCAGTACGATAGTGTGTAGAGTCCGAGCTTTTCACAACGTTTTTCATACAGAAGCTTTCGTAGACTCGGTTTCATTCTAATTGCGATGTGCTGTATTTTCTCCAGATTTTCAGTTTCCCACTGGATTATCGGATGGTAAGCTGGGGCACCGTATTCAAGGATTGGTCTAATGAGCGAGGTGAATAGACGAGGCACGGTTTCTTCGGACCATGTAGAGAAACTGCGTCTTAATGCCCAGAGCATACAAAGTCCCGCACGGTACAATTTCTCTATTTTCTAGAAATCTCATATCATGTCGTGAGAGAACTCCTAAGTCTCTGACAGATGTGTTGGGATGGAGCAACTGGCCGTCCAAGGTGTATGATCGAGTGGCTGGACGTCTGGTCATACTGATGAACCCCAACTTGCTTGCGTTAATAGGGAGTTGCATTTCAGTGGACCACGTTGACAGTCGCTCTAAGTCATGCTGGAGGCAAGCGCAGTCCTCCTGGTTCTCAATTATCTTCCAGATTTTCAAATCATCTGCAAACAGGACACATGGTGAATGGAGCTGCTACGGAAGATCACCGATATGAATAAGAAACAACACTAGCCCAAGTACAGTTCCTTGAGGCACGCCACTGGTCGATGGGAACCAGTCTGTCAGGTAGTCATTGGCCTGTACTCTAAACTTTCGTCCTACAATAAACTCGTGTAATCACTGAAGTAACGTGCCACCGACTCCTTATGTCCTCAGTTTACCAAGGAGTACCTCGTGGTTCACTCTGTCAGACACTTTACTATAGTCGATGTACACCATGTTGACCTCCTTCTGTTCATTAAAAGTTCATACCCACTGGTCGTTTGCGTACACCAAGTTGGTGATGCAAGATCGCTCTTTCGTGAAGCCGTGTTACGCTGGCGTCAATAGGTCCATCGACACGAATAACGACAGCAGACATTTTTTCCCAACCTTCTCGAGAACTTTGGATAATATCGAAGTCAATCAGCTCGGTCTATAGTTCTCTATTTTACTCGGATCACCACCCTTTGGAAGCGGTTTCACTATCGAGCATTTCCAGTCGTTGTGGACAGATCCTTCAGAGGGTGATTTTTGTTTAGGTTTGTCACGACTGGTCTGATGATAATCGATAGAGACTTGAGTATTAGTGGGTGAACTTCGTCTGGTCCGGGGGGCTTTGCACCATCGAGGTTGACGAATAGCTGATATACTTCGACTGCACCACATTGTAGGCTGTCGAGCAAGGCTGGCGCAACCTGTGCCGGTACTGTAACGGCTGCCGGTTTACTGGAAACTACGGTGAGCAAGTGCGTAGCCAAGGCGTCTGTGCGCCACGCGCTTGAAATGAGCCTCTGTCCAACCAAGCTCTCTAAAACCGGTAGGTCGCCCCCGGTTTCAGGTGCCGTTTCAAGTAGGCAAATATTCCTTTGGGGGCAGTTGTGGCCGAGGATGCTAGCTCCTTTCCGAATTGCCAGTATTTCTTGATCTTTGCGGCGTTACATAAGTTTTGCTGTTTCTTGTACACCGTGTAATCTTCACCAAAACCCGAGCTGATGTATCTATCCCAAAGTTTGCGACGCCGTCGCGCTAACTGTCTACATTCCGTATCCAACCAATGCGGTTTGACATGTCCGATTTTTGAATACTACAGGGGAACGAACCGAGTACACAGCGGGTTAAGCTTCCCCTTCATTAATGACTCACAGGCCTCAAGCGACGCATCCTGTGATAGTGTCCAATCATTCTCACTTGCGGCTTGGACGAGCCCGTTGAAGTCCATATTCCAATAGTTGAATGTCGGCTTCCGTTGGTTGTAATACGGTAACGATAGTTCGGTGCTTGCCACAATGGAGCAGTGGTCACTGTTCGCCAGAGGTTCGAGGACTCTCGTTCAGCTTCTGATCGAAGCTCGTAAACATTAGGTCCAGACAAGCTGCCGAGTGCGGAGTTACTTGCGTCGGTTGGATGACATGTTGCGTTGCCCCGATTTCCATAGTCATGTTGGCGAATTGAGACTCAACTTCGACATGACCGAGAAGAAGCCGAACGCCTGGCCAGAATGTCTTGGGGGAATTTAGATCCCCCATCAGTAAGAACTGAGGGCAGCTCATGTGCTTCTGTACATGTGGTAGCCAATCGCAACAACGGTTTACTGGGCTACGGTAGATAACACCCACTATTAGTTCTACACGTCTGAGGCGTATTGTGCACCACAATTGCTCGCATAAATTATCCTCGCTCCAATAGGTGCTGGTAAGTTTGCCAGATAGTGACGATTTTTTGTACAACGGTACATCATCGGGTGCCTTCCATTTTCGGTCGCATCGGAAACAAGAGTAACCTGACAATGTGACTTCTTGGGGTATGACGTCGGAGTTCAGCCAAGTCACTGCAAGTCCTAAAATGTCCGGCCGCTCCGAGACAGCGAAGCGACACAGTTTGTCACGTTTGGCGAATGCCACACGGAGGTCCTGGGAGGACTGTGGGACGTGCCTGGAGGTTGAGCAACCGGTTGATACAGGTTCGTATACCCTTCTTGATCACCTGAAAATTTACAATTTGTAAGTCAGTCTCACCTTCATCTGTACTGCGTTTGTGCTCAATGACCGCAATCTTCAAACGATCCCTGTTACCAAGTCCAGTCTGAGAGACTATGTACCTCTTGCGAATTTGTCTCATCGGGCGACGAGTATGCTGAATCACTTTGCCGATCAATGGCTGGCAGACGGGCAGTAGCCGGAGTACACACACACGCAGTGACACTATACAATCACGCAGCTTGGATATTCGCAGCGATTACATGTCAGTGAACTAGAGGGGTCGAACGAAATAGATGTGACCTCTACGCACAATGGACAAACCCGAAGGAAATCAGGACTCCGGGCAAAGACATCGGGCTGGACATTTGGAGGGAGGGAGTGTGTTGGGTCAAAAGCATCCACTACTACGGTCTGTGTGCTGGAAATGGATTCAGAAGCAGCGTTCGCCACGCGGGCTGTAGGAGACAGTACGAACAAGTGGATCGGTTGGTAGTCAGAGGTGATGCACACGCTTGATGATATTTGCCACAATATGTAACTCGGTTCGCACTTCGGTTTCTTACACGGGGACATGCGAATTACAAGGCAAGCGCGTAATCCTTCCCCCCACTGGTTGAGTCCCGCATGAACGAAATGGATGCCCATTGTGGCTGCCAGGGTGTACTCGTGACGAGTTTCCTCTAAACTTTTAATTTTCGATCTTTGTTCTTGAAACGTTACTATTATTGCCGTTATTTTTGCTGTGACAACGTTTGCCAAGGTTACTGAATTCCCCGTACTTCAGAATACGGACTACAGGTATTTAACTGCTTGAAAACACCCAGCAATCCACTTTGCGAGTTGTGGTTGAAAAGTCTCCGGACGTCACTGTTCCTTTTTTACAACGGCATTCCCTCATCTTACTCACTGGTAGCTTTCCTATTTCCAGCCTTCTGATCGATCACTTAACAGCTGTCATTAACCGATCCCGAAGTAAAACCAGTGAATTCAAGGCATTGCTTACAAATTGCATCTGGAAACCTTCAAATCTCCTTGCCCATCTAATTTGAGTTTTCTCAATCGTGGATGGATTTTTGCAACTTTGATTTTGTTACTTGAAGCTTGGAACCGATTCCATACTATGACTCATTCGACTTTGCGCTACAGGAATGAAGTGGCATTGCGTCTAAATTAGTTACATACACGAAGCGTTGGAGATTTTGATGGGGAGTTTTCCTCTGACTGGGTCAATTTTACCACAGTGATCTAGTTCGTTTCCATTTCATTTGTTGCACCAGGTTGAAAGCAGATCCGCAGAACTAACTTGTTGCGGCTTATGTGGACGTCAAATCTACCACCGGGTTTAAGCTTCCAACCTGGTTTTTTCGTAGAATCATTCGAACCATCCATTACGCCAACATCGTTTACTGTGCCCTCTGACTCCGTTTTGGACGAGACCCGGCTTTCCTGTAGCAGTGCAAGTCATCTGATCTTCATAACCCTGCTTCGCTATCGAAAGTCGACAATTATTCCCTCATTGGCATGCACTTTGATGCAATAAGTGCAGGTCATAAGCGCCTTAACACGGCTAATACTGCTTTATTACTTGTTCGTTAATTCAGTAGTGTATTTCCGATTGGTTTTCTTGTCACTCCCTTTCCATTCCCACGAATTACTTCTTTGCTCTTGATACTTCCAATGTTTCCGTTTTCAGATTGCTTTTCACGCCCGTCTATTCTGCATTTTATGCACTCCATGGTGTCCCGTGGAGCTCGCACGAATGCTATAAAACGCCTCCACGAATGGCTGTCCATCAGCAAGTTTCTGCCTATCCAGCGTGTTGATCCTGCATGCGCGACATCCACGCATCTTCAGAGCTGTGATCCGGCAACTTGTCAGCCCTTGGTTCAATTTAAAGAGACCTGCAATGGAGATTTGGATAAAATCATCGAAGAGGCCTCGCGTGCACAGAAGGCTTGGTGCATGCAACCTCCGCTGGAACGTGCAAAAGTGGGTGTCACTAATTTGTTGAAATGCTGCTTAAACCATTCTCACATTGACTGAATCACGGGGAATACTGATCCTCAGCAATCCAAAAATTCCCATTTATTAGAATGAATCAAGGGAGGCAGAATCTGAGTAAAGAATTCTTTTCGGTAATTCTCATCAGACTCAAATAGTACATGATGACGAGAAAGTGCTAAAGATGCCAGATTGGGCTGCGTATTGAACAGAATGTTTAATTTCAACAGGAACAACAACGATTCACGGGGTCATTGAAAGTGGCAAGTATCTACAGGGGAAACCACAGCAAAAATTGTAGGCCGCGGTAGAAGTAAAGGACGTACAAACTGTTTTTGTTCACCTAATTCTGGCTTGAGGTGGCGGATGTAGATAGCTTCCGCAGTAGACAGAAGATGCTTCCGGAATCCGCGCGAGAAACGTTCAGGAACAGTATAGGTAACTCTAAAATCGTTTTTCGTCCGTGTGTGACTGTACTCTAGAAGGTGAGATAAGATGGAACTGTTACTGGACCTCGCTTCGCCTTTGTAAAATCACTTTGGGATGTGTTCGCGAATCCTATGAGATAGGCGCCTCATAGTACGACCCACGTATCGTGTACCACAGGAACACGAGTAAAGATAAATAAGCACTGATCAAGTCACCGGAGACAGCATGTCTTTCAAAGGTTTTGTGAATAAAGGCTTGTTGTAAAATACTCTCCGTAGGCCAGACGCGAAATAGGTCTTTTCAACCGCGTCTTTCAGGCGTTTGGACAAGGCATCAGCCGCACTGTCGCCTTTGAAAGCAATGTGCACAATTAGTTCTTTCTTGGGTACGTTCATCCTTGGTGGTATTATCTTGCGTTTTTTTCAAGTGTTTGAGGATGAATTTATCTGGATGCCCATTCACTCTTAGCGCGTCGCCGATCCTCTGCAATTCTTTTGTGATTGTGTCCGGTGTGCAAATTCTATGTGTCCGGAACGCACATTTCGATTCACATTTGTTCGTTCTACCATTGTTACATCTTCCGCATTTCCTTGACTTGTCGTATATTATCGGACTGATGATTACTGAAACACTGCCAGACCTACTATCGGGCAACAGCTGTTGTTTCCTTAATCTTGCGACTCATGCTTCATTCAAAATGACATAAGTCAAGCCAAAATAAGCTGTATGAATCCGAATGGGGACATTTTCCTCATTTTACAATAGCAGAGTGGATGTAATGAGGCATAACATTTGATTGAAATTACAATCAAAACATAAAGAGAAGCAGATGCATGCGCACACCACATCATCATCGTCATACTACATGTTAGCTGCAGGTGGGGAACACCTCAGCTACCGTGCCGCAATACTTAGAAAAAATACAATACAATGAATCTTTCCTCAAATAATTTCTGATGCTCTGGCCACCGCAGAGGATAATCAACGGTGCCCTGTCTGCTGCATCGGGCAGGGTGGGTGGGAGTTTGGATGCTATCGCTCAAGCCTTCCAGTCTTCTTATTCCCCTCTTACACTTTTTCACCCATATCGTCCCGTTCCAGCTTCACTTTTATCCACCCAGTTTTCAACCCCCAATTTTCGGCCCTCCCCCACCTTGCTTCAATAGTCGTTTGTCTTTTAGTTTCAACTCACATGTGAACGCGGAGCGTCATTCCTGCACTGTCAACTGACCCATGTCCAAGCAAGCGGCCCATTCCAGTTCATCGGCTTCCATTTGGAGCCCTCGATCCTCCTTCAGATTGGCATGCCTCAATGTTCGCACACTGCTTCAGATCGGTCAACAGGCAGCACTTGCCCGAACATTAGAGACCCTCTCGATCGATATCTGCTGCTTATCGGAGACCCGCTTGCAAGACTCGAGCTCTATACTCACTCTGCGATCCCCTCCAGGTGACGCAAGCAGTGTTTTCTCATTGCGCCTATCCGGTGACGATGCAGCTTCGAGCACCGGCCAAGCTGGTGTTGGTATTGCCCTGAGTCCCCGGGCTGAAGCTACTCTGGTTGATTGGATTCCAATCATTAGCCGGATGTGTGCGGTCCGATTGGCTGGCTCGTCCAAAACTTCGAAGTCGCGTGGGACTAGCAGGTGTCTATTCGTTATTGCTGCCTATGCACCGACAAACTGTAGCGATGACTCGGTAAAAGACGACTTCTATCGTCAACTGAACGCGCTTCTTAGCCACAGAAGAAGCTCGGACACAGTAGTGCTGGCGGGGGATCTGAACGCTCAAGTTGGAAAATTATCCACTGATGAGCTGCATCTGGGCGGCCAAATTGGTATAGGCTCCCGTAATGATAACGGTGAGCGGTTACTTCATTTGTGTGAGGATGCTCGCTTATTTCTTGCGAGCACTAATTTCCGACACAGCACCCGCCGGAGGTTGACTTGGCGCCCACCAGTCTCGAATCAGCTATGGACGCAAATTGATCACATTGCGATGGAGAGGCTGCATCCAGAACTGTCGCTCGATTTGGAGAACAGGTGTGGACACCGACCATGCACTTGTGTGTGCTGACCTGCGGATGCGCTTTGGCGGACGCCCAAGACGATTTTGTGAGCGCATTGACACCGGTCAACTGGCAAAGCCAGCTGTTCTGAATGCGTATCAAAGTACGCTGTCATGCGAGTTGGATAAACGCTCACTAGATGCAATTGAAGCTCACTGGTCTCATATTCACCAGACGTTATTAGCAGAAGGCATATCCTCATGTGGTATGTCTAATCGCCAACATGGACATTGGGTCTCTTCACAGTCTCTGGAACTTATCGACGCTCGCCGGCATATTCCGGCTGGAAGCGAACACAATGAAACTCGCAAAGTGCTCCGGGCAAAACTTCGTGCTAGCCTGAAGAGAGACCGCGAATCCTGATGGCCTCATCGTGCATCAGAGATGGAAATGGCCGCTGCCCATGGTAATCAGCGTAGGTTATTCCGTCTGATAGGGGAAACGGGCAGCAGGAGACCTGGTGTTAGTGAAACTATACGTGACGAGAGTGGACAGCCTATCCACAACTCATCAAAACGCTTGGAGCGTTGGGCTGAGCACTTTGAAAGGCAATTTAATCGGTCGAAATGGTTAGCTTCCTCTACGGCCACTGGTCGCCCCACTCCCTGGGCTGTCCCTTTGGATCCACCCTCTCGCTCAGAAGTCGAACGTATGATCGGACTGTTGAAGCTGGACCAAACCGCGGGACCTGATGACCTTCCTCCAACCCTCTTCAAATTCGGGGACCTACTCTTATGGATGATTTACACGAGTTACTAGTCAAACTGTGGGAGCAGGAAACTGTCCCAACCGATTGAAGCCGCTCCGTCATAGTCCCAATTTTCAAGGGAGGCTCACGATCGGAATGCGGCAGCCATAGAGGAATCAGTCTGATCTCCATCGCCTCCAAATTGCTTGCCTCTGTCTCCTTCACAGACTGATTGGCACTCGTGTAAGCCAGATTCGTGAAGAGCAAGCCGGGTTTCGTCGAGGTCGTGGATGCATCGACCACATCTACACCTTGCGTCAGTTGTTGGAGCACCACCACATATATTGGCGGCCCACCATAGTCGTGTTCCTCGATATCAAAGGTGCATTCGATTCGGTGGATAGACATGCACTTTGGGACTGTCTACTCAGGAAAGGTGTACCTGAGATATATGTGAATATTATCCGAGCATTATATGCGCGTAGCTCGGACAGAGTGAGGGCTTACGGCAAGTTGTCGTCGCTCTTTAATATCTCCAGCGGCGTGAGACAAGGATGCCCGCTGTCACCTTTCCTCTTCAACTTCGCTGTTGACGAAGTCATGGAAATCGCGTTCACAGGACGCGACTTTGAAGGTGTGGAGCTACTCCCAGAAGAACGGCTTCTTGACTTAGAGTATGCTGATAATATTGCCCTAATCTGTGACAGCTCACAAACGTGCCAAGCGGCACTGGACAGATTAGCACTAGCTGTCCTTCGATTCGGGCTTTGCTTCGCACCCTCGAAGTGCAAAGCGTTCCTCCAAGATTGGTTTGGACCGCCTCCTACGCTGACCCTTGGTGGGGATAAGCTGGAAGTCGTTCAAAAATTCAACTACCTGGGAAGTTGTATCAGCGCCCGTGGGATTGAAGATGAGATCACGAATCGTATAGCAAAAGCTCGAGGCGCTTTTGCTAACCTTCGCCACTTATGGCGCCGGCGCGGCATCACTCTTGCCCTGAAGGGTAGAGTGTACAATTCAGCGGTACGTCCAACCTTACTGTACGGTTGCGAAACCTGGCTCCAAGATCGGCGGACATGAAGAGGCTAGTTACGTTCGACCACCGGTGCCTTCGTAATTTAGCTCACATTTGGTGGGAACACCGCGTGAGTAACGAGCGTGTTCGACGCCTTGTTTACGGCACAAAAAAAGGAACTGAACTGCTCAGCACCGTCATTTCACGCACCAGGCTCCGATGGCTGGGCCACGTGTTAGGCATGCCAGCCCATCGAGTTCCACGACGTGTGTTGTTTGCTCACCGGGAATGTGGATGGAAGAAGAGGAGGGGTGGCCAAGCGATGACTTGGTCCAGAGGAATGAAGGCCCTCACTTCTGAGCTGGCCTCAGTTGGAGCATCTCGGCTCCCTGGTTGGGGTCCGAAAGACGGTGAACACATTTGGCTGGACACACTTGCTGATATGGCTAGGAGCCGACCTCAGTGGCGTTCGTGCTGTGAGTTTCTTTGTCCCACCCCATCCCTCTTAGCCTCCCCCTCCAACCACGATCTCATTACTTAGCCTTATATAATTTTGCATAGTACTTTTTTTGGTGCACAGCAGCCGGCTGGTAGCTTACCGGAACGATGCCCATCCGTTACCTGTAGCTCAGCCAGTTTGCACCAGTGGCTTTTTTTCTCTCCTTTTTTCTGTGCGGACCTCAGTCCACTAGAAAACGGATTAAATACTGTAAGATAAATTTGTGCTAACCTTGTGTGCGATGAATCAACTCTCTAAATTTAGAGCGGGTAGACGAGCAGAAGAGGGC